CACCGCCAGAAGACTTTCAAGATGTTCCTGTCATTGTCGCAGATGGTGTGGAATATATTCTGCTGGATCAACCTGTGGACTTCATGAAAAAGAGTGACGACGACAGGAACGTCATCCATGAGGCGTTGCACGAAGTGACAGAGTTTGCACTGCAGGGTCAAGATCTGATAGAATTTTTGTCAGCAATAACAGAAGACAACATCATATCTGGCAGACCGTTGTGGGGGGAGTTTTTATCAGCTGCTTTGGAGCGGCTCGGTCTTGCAAACTGCGATGTTGAGAGACAAAGAGAAAGAGAAGAAGGGTGGAAGGTGATGGCCACGGAAACAAATTTAGCAATCATTCCAGACAATGGACAGACATCAGCAGCACAAGAATCAATAACCAGTATGGCAGTTGATGTGCCTCCCATGCGGACAGCAACGGGAGAGCAGCTAGTGTGTTGTGATATCTTCAATGCTTTCACAATGGAGAAAGAATAGTGTGATCGTGGATTTGAAGAGGCCGATTTGCCAAGTTGGTGTGAAGAGTACACAGACAGTGCAGAAGAAGAAGATGAAGAAGAGGATGAGGGGGCATCATCTTCTGACGTAGAAGTGAGCGGCAACGATGTCAGCAGCGACGAGAAAGACGAGGAACATGATGCATACTATGATTTGAAGGTTGTGGGTGGACAAGTGACAAAAGGATGGACACATGCAATTCTGAGGTTGGCACGTGCTTTTTCCGATCCGCACAAACTGCTGCGTGTTGTGATGAAGGGGGCAACATCAGATGGTGCACTACAGTATGCCGCAGTGACCAGCATAATGAAATCATGCAACAAGGAGAAAAAGTGGTCACGTGTTGGCAAGGGATGGTTTGTTCTGGTCAATAGAGAGGTTGTGCTAGCGACGTCACTGACATGGGGAGTCAACCTGAGTCGCCTCATGCACGGCGCAATGGCGACAGCTTGGGGAGAGACATTGCACCCTAGGTTATCAACAGGAGACGCAATAGTTAGTGCTCGGCCACGGCAGCGACCGGAGACACACCCACACACCACGACAGACTATGTTAGACATCAGTGATGATGACAGACATGCATCCCTCAACCTGTACATCCCTCTATGTCTGCCTCAATTTCAACGACGGTCGGGTTCACTACTGCGTACCATATCAGTGTCCACCGATGCTGTTTGTTGTCGTTTTGGCCCTCACTAGTGAACCTCTCTCTCTCTCTCTCTCTCTCTCTCTCTCTCTCTCTCTCTCTCTCTCTCTCTCTCTCTCTCTCTCTCTCTCTACTTTATGGCCTTCTCCGGTAAAGGGGTCTATCTTTCTCTCTCTTTCTCATATGTCGAGTTGTAGCTATATTAGAACGTCTACATCCATCTGCGGGTTACATTTAATGATGCCTGTTGTTTGTCTCTCCAAGTACATGCGGTTCACTACAGCGTGCAGACACAAGATTCAACAATATTTCAATCATTTGATGATTGTTACGATGTGTATTATAATTTGTTGCCTTTCGGAGTACGTGAGACACATCAGACCCCCTGTGATGACCAATGTGTGTATGTTGTGTTTTTTTTTGCATTCTTTGTAATTTAAATTGAAATGTAGTAGGTTGTGAAATGTTTTGGAAGTTTGTGCGGAGGTCGGCTGAGGTGCCGAGGTGCAATCATTTTCACACGGACATGCAAAACACATACCACATTCACAAACGTCGTGGATGGATAGTTACGAACTTGGTCAGTCGCAAAACTGTGGTGATGAATGTTGTGTCATATATCGTGTACCATGCGTAAGTCGTTGCCTCTTCCTACACGACCATAGAACCTGTCATGGCATATAAATTATCGTGTCGTACGGTTGACTACTAATCTTTGTCAATTGGGATCAGCAACACAGACCATTCGTGCCAAAAACGGCAATCAGCACTCCCTCTCTATCTCTTTCTCACAGAGAAGAGGATGAGTGGCACACACAATATAACAAAATATGCTCTGCAACTTACAATTCTAACGACCTGAACCAATGTACAAAATGCTAATGAAAACACTGTCCGCACCGCTCTGTTTGTTTTTGGAATGCACTGCGTGCATAGAAAATGGACAGCGGTCCAGAGGTGTGCGACTGTGGCAGGTCTTTCATGTCATTACGAACTTTGAACTCACATCGTTCGAGGGCATGCCTAACCGTGGCGGACGAAAGAACATATGGTCAGGAGATTGGTGTGGTCGATGACGCCGGAGCATCAAGTATAGGTGCACTGAATCTCGTGAGCGATGAGAGCGAGGACGTCGGGGCCCCCGAGAATGTAGACGAGGAGGGCGGGGCATTCGAAGAGCAGCAACCGCAGCCTGTCGAATCTTTTGACAGCTCTCACAAGTTGGCGGCACTGATTTTCTCCGCCAGGGGCGTCAGGGGCGGCGTCGGTATATCGTAGAGCGACATAGATGCTCTCTTGTCACTTCTCACGGACCCGAGATTCTGCACGAGTCGAGAGTGTTTGACATGGGCAGGGAGTCTAGCAGACGCTGCTGGATGGAAAGAGTTGGATCTACGTTGTGACGATTGGCCACGGGATGCGCACGCCATCTTGTGGCACCGCGACTGGCGAACGACATTTCTGTCGATTTTTCATATCGCATTACAGAAATGCGAGACAATGTCTTCACTAGAAGTGTCTCCGCCGTCAGAGCACCTCAGTATATCCGGCCCACGCAGCGGGGCGCTAAGTTATCACATCCAGTCGATCATTCGAGCGGATAAAGGCGTGGACGGGAATGGTAATCCACATTATGTCATCCCTCTTTCATTGTATTCCGACAAGACACATACAGACGGTCGTCAAAAACAGACGGCATACCCTCTGATGATGTCACTAGCCGACCACGCATCTGAAGCCACACTGTTGGCCTATCTTCCTGTGCTTCATCATCGTCCGCGTGACAAAGGATGGGATCTGCAGTCCACCGCATTCAGAAAGCGAAAGGCCATCATTTTGCACAAGGCCCTTTCAGTGGTGTTGCAGTCTGCGAAGAAGGCATCTCATGACGGAATAATGATACCGACAACTCGATTCGGGGACATAACTGTCCACCCTTTCCTCCTCAACTATATCCAGGACTACCCAGAACGATGTGCGATTGCAACTGTGAAGTTTGGTGTAACAATTTTGATGTCATAGCCGATTTCACAGACTGCAGGAAATCACAGACGCTGGAAACACACCTCACAGCAGATGTGTTCACCACCGACGACATCGACGTTCGCTGTGCAGCGGAAGCACGAATGTCGGAGTTAAACATGCATAGGCATGTTCAACAGAACGGCCTTTGGGGGTTCTACATGGGCCCCAATGGTGACGATCCTCAGCTAGACTACCGCCTGGCATTGCAACCAGACCGTATGCACACAATCGAGCACTGCATATTCCTGCACATGATTGACGCATTCAGGACCGCAGCCTTTGAGAAGTCGCCGCACGTACAGCAAACAGAAATCCTGAAGGAACTAGATGCAAGGTTACAAAGCGTTAGTGAGAGATGCACGCGAACATACCCCCAACTTGTGTTGCCGGTGGCCACTGGCAGCGACTTTTTTTCGAGGGAGGGACGGTTCGAGGCAAATCTGTGATGACAGTGTGCGTGTTCCTTATTTCTAATATTATACCGCGCTCGACAAGCAAGAGCATTACAATTTGTTTTGTGAAACTGATAGAAATGTACATACGAGTGTTTCGGTGTACAACACACAGTCGTGCTTCGCTCGATGAATGCGACGCTTTGATCACGGACTTCGTAACGACCATCAAAGGAAAATTGGAAAAATATCAACCATCAACATGGAAACTCCCCAGTTGCACGATCTCATGCATCTGACAACGTGTATTGAGCGATCCGGTGTCCCCGACACCTTCGTGACAGATGTTTGGAAGCATCACCACAGGAAATTCTGCAAACAGCCATACCTGTCATCAAACAAGCGGAAAACTTCAACCCAGATGGTAAACCATGTGCGGCGGTCATTGGCGTTGCGCGAAGAGATCGGGATCGTGAGGAAACGGAGGAAGAGAACGGTTGAGAACCGGTCGTCCGTGACAGACTGTATGGCCACCGGAATGAACACCATCCCACTACGCGATACGGCAATGCTGCAACTGTGGTGGTTCGACATCGATGACGAGTACATACGCGAGGGAGAAGGCATTCACAACCATGCGTGTAAGATACTCGAAGAGGTTCCTTGCAAATGCGATTTTCGAGCTGCGCTTACGACATACATGGCGGGAAATCGTTGTCAACCTCCTTCTGACGACCTGCTTATACACACACGGACACACCTCGCCATCGCTTGCGTACAGGACGGAACAAACAAGGGCACACTTGTTCAAACTGCAAGAGCTTCACCACAGTTCCAGGCAACGAATGCACATGGTTTGCATCAGTAGCCATGTTTTTTGTCGTGAATGCACCCACAGACAGCGGTAATATGGAACACAACTGCAAATTTGTGCAATGGTACAAGAAGGTCGACGGTGAACGGCAACACATGACAGGTTGCAAGAAATTGAAATAAAAGAAGTTGAATGGACATCAACACAGTAGCGTCGTTTCGACCGACACTATTGTAGACATAGTTCACATTGTTCCGCGCTTCTCTAAACCATAATGGGGATCGAAGCAGCATGCAAAACAACGTGAGGACTGTTTTTATTTGAACAAGTACATATTGTAGAAGAAACAAATGGAAACTAAGTTTCTATGTTTGCTAAGAGAGAGAGAGAGAGAGAGAGAGAGAGAGAGAGAGAGAAAGAGAGAGAGAGAGAGAGAGAGTTTCTATCTGTCGTTACCACGGGACAGTCATGTTGTTTCTTCCGAAGTATAGGGGAACAAGAGAGAACATTCGTCTTTTTCTTTCCGTTATTTGTTGAGAAATGTCATGTCAAATGTGACCAAGCTTATGAAGCGGTGAAAACCACATGCGAGACGAAAGTGTCCCCAAAAGTTCATTAC